CTCTAGCATTATTTGGGGCCTAGGTAGCTTAATTATACACGTCCAAATTTTGTCTTGTGCCCCCTTCTAGATTGGTTAACCCCGGACTACATGGCAACTCCACACGTCCTTTTTTTCACAAAACCTTTCTAAAAAACTTTTCAATTTCAAATTAACCCTTTAAAACCTTTTGAAAACCATTTCATTAATCCTTCCGACACATGAACTCAACCAATGCTCATGATATGCAGGGCTGTTATTACTTGCCTTCTGACAACCTCCCCCGAAATTACCCGAGCTAGTAGTGATACCCCTAATTTTAAAAGGATAGTCTCGGTATTTATTTATTTGTTTTAATTGCATTTTTAATTGTTTAATTGATTATTTGGCTAATTGCTTATGTGTTTAATTGAATTAAGGGTTACTTGATTAATTAGCTATTTGTCTATGTGTTATTTGTATTATCTGTTTAATTAGATTGTGTGCTTAAATAATGTATTTGATTAATTGTAATTAATTGTAGATTAAATGATTAAATATTTTATTTTATTTTATTTTATTTTATTTTATGGTTAGTAGTAATGGGCCAGCCAATTAGGTCCCATGAACTACTTAGATAGGAGGTTTAATGGGTATGGATAATTATCCATGGATATATATATATATATATATATATATATAAAAGGAAAGTAGTTTATTAATTAATATTGTGGTAACATTACTATTAATAAATAATCTGATGTATATATTTTATATATTTATATAATAAGGATATACATAGATTATATACGTAACATATTTTAAGTTACCTTTTTAATATTTTAATTTTATTATTTTCTTTATTAAGTTGACTTGGATTGGGAAAAGAATTAGGGTTATTTTAGTTATCTTTAAATATGTAACTATAGGGTCATAAAAAGGGGCTAAAAAATAAATCACGTAACATATTTTTTAAAAGAGAGAAAGAGAGTTAGAGAGAGAAGGAGGAAGAGGAAGAATGAGGAGAAAATCAGAGAAGAAGGAATTTGAGGTTTTTTATCCGAAAACCTTAAGAGGCAAGTTCTTCTTCTATCTCTTTCTCTTTAATTTGTGTTTTTATACATGCCTAGGAAATTCCAGGATGCTTAAACACTTAAAAATTGAATAATTGTGCATGCTTGAATTGGTTTCGAACAGGGGGTTTTATGATTTTATAATCTTGAATTTTTTATACATAATTGATGTTTAAGTTTAATCTTTACATGTTAAAATATCTAAAACAAATTAATATGGACTTATGGAATTAGATTGATGCCTTAGAACCTTTAACAATGAAGAACAGGCGTAAAGTTGGATTTCTGGGCAGATTCGCGTAGCAGTGCTCGAGCTTTGGATGCAAAGCTTAAGCCATAGGTGAAAAGCTCGAGCCTTGGAGTTAAAGCTCGAGCTATTGATGAAAAGTTCAAGCCGTGGATAAAAAGCTCGAGCTATCAGGATAAAAGCTCGAGCCTTACCTGGAGAATTTTCGTAAACAGCGTTTAAATTGACCTTAATTGATTTTGATGGGTCTCGAACGTTAAATAGGGACTAGTTATAAGTTTAAATAAATTTTAAATAGACTTGATCATAACGATGTAAGCTATTTGGATTATTTTGAAGAATTGATGAATTTAATCTTGTAATTTGTTTTAATAATTGAGATTAAATGTTTTGCATGAGATGTAAATGGAGAATGTTTACTTGGCTGTAAAATAAATTATCAGCATGTTTAAGATTCAGTTTATGTGAGATACATGATATAGGAAGTTTAAATAAATTATAAGTCATTCCTACGATGTGATAACACGATATTATGTTATTTTGCTTATTTCTGAATTAATTGATGAATTGTTTTGTCTGTTGCATCAATTATTGGATTGTGTGGATGTAATGTACCAGTATGGGATGGTGGCATTCTAGAGACGGATTAACTATAAAGTTAAGTCCTACCTATTTCTAGTATTCTTGGGACGGATTAATCAAATAAGTTAAGTCCTACCTACTTGTGTTTACTAGGGACAGATTAACTAATAAGTTAAGTCCTACCTATTTTATTTTATGCTTTGGATAAGACGAATTCTATATATATAGTTATGTGCCATGATATGAGCTTGAGTTTCAGGATCATGGTTATGGTGCGTATATCGCCTAGGATGGATAACTGGACATAGTAGACATCTGTGTGCCCTAGTAGGTCTAAGTACTCATGCCCACTTTATATGCGATTTGCATGTTGCCTACTATTCAGGTTGAGGCAGACCTATAACCTTGTGAGCATTCTATAGTGTGTATTTATATATATACGGACTACTAGATATTGTTGGATTGACTAGGATGTTACGTGTATCGGATCTCTGCTTGGACTGTAGTAGAGCAGAACTTGTTTGTGAGCCTAATCCATTATTATTTTTCAGGTGTTCGTTAGTAGTAGAGATTGTTCGTGCTAAGTAAGGATCCGTCTATTTCACTCTTCCGGATTGTCTACATAGGAGTTTCCTTTATGTTTCAGTATCTAGTTGTAGACCATTGATTATAATGGTTTGGAATTTTTCTAGGGGTCCACACAGCATGGATTCTCGAGTTGTATTGAAAGATTGATTGTATCATAATATTTTATTTTAATGAAAATTTATTCTGAGGATTTATTGGATTATCATTTTAGTTTTTTTTCAGCAATTTATTTATTCTTATTTATCCTTTTGTATTCTGTGTTTTTTTATTACCAATTTCTTTTTAATATCCCCGAGTATTCGAGCGTGGGCCAAACCAACTTGCATTCAGAAACCCGAGGCTATCACACTAGCTGCTTAACTAATGCTTTTTTGCCTGCTGATTCCTACTCCATTGTCTACTTCTCTCGGCCCCCGCTCTATGCGCATCACATACATCCTAGAGGGATTTAGAACTCCACACCGCGCTGAACTAATCGGCCTGTTCCATGCCATCTCTTACTGAAATAGACCGGATTGGTGTCCGATCCAAAGTGAGATACTTTTCACCCAAATCTTCTATGGAATATTATTGTGGCATAAGGCAAACATCACTAGTTAACGTCAACAACACCCACGAACGACTCTCTCTCTCTCCGTCGGGTGTCCCATCCACTGTATCTTTACTTTGGTATCCGGGGCAAGTGTGCCAAAGTATCCGGGGCAAGTGTGCCAAATTCAGTTGTTTATCCTGACACATTTAGGTCTAGAGAAAAAGATAGAGAAAATGACGAACTCTAGAGTTTTTCAACTCCAACATATCAATTGACGAGGTTGAACTTATTTTATCTAATTATATTTCTAGATAATTTTCATGAATAAAACAAAAAAATGAACACTCATAAATTGTGAGTTTGTGTTGGTGCAGTACCTTTATTTTGACATAAAATGAGTGCCCTATTTGTAGAGTTTGCTAAGAAAGATCAAGCACGTGATTAGAGTTTGCTAAGAAAGTCTCATGTGTTTTGTCCTTTCTCCAATCTTATGGTTGGAATATAGGTGAACTTGGAAATGCCCACTAAAGTGACCAAATTAATACTGTTAATAAGGCCACCTTTTATCCAACGGATGCAAGAACTACCTGTAATGGAAATGCTTTCAATTCTATGATAATTTGCTGCAAAGTCCTTTACAGATCTCAAGTAGGAAATAAAAAATAACAAGTTATGTGGAGCGTCACGTTCATGCTTTAAATGATTAATCAATATTCTTCAAAAAAGCATCCTACTCAAATTGGAAAAATAAATTAGCTAAACAACAAAAAAGAATGGACCAATAATATACTTTTGTTGGTCCCATATATGATATATCTCATCAATGGTTACTTTTAAATTTTGATTAAAAAAGAAACCTTTAAAATAAAAGATATTTATTCTGAAAATATTATTAGTTAAAAGAAGGAAATTGATTACGGAGTATAAAGTTTGCTAGTCAATACATGTCACCTATATTATTATTTTTATTTATTTATTTATTTATTGAAAACAATTAATCCTTTAAATCCGGTGATATTTTGGTAGCCAGGCAAAATAAATTTCAGATATAGACAAACAACTGTAATATCAATTTCAGATACAGAGATTCTTTTAATTTCAAGTGTCTTCTTGCTTTATCCTTATATATTTAAATTAAAATGGAAAATAACAAACTACAAAGCAATATTAAGGGCGTTACAGTAAATCAATAATATAAAAAGGACAATATTTGTGTCCTCCCATGGAATGATAAACTTTATCTTCCTAACTGAACTGATGTGGCCCAATACAATTTAAATACATGTCAATATTTGTGTCCTCCCATGGAATGATAAACTTTATCTTCCTAACTGAACTGATGTGGCCCAATACAATTTAAATACATGTCCAAATTTTAAAATTTTTTAATAATGATTATCATCTAACTTCTTACTGGTTAAAACCAAATTCATTTTTATTTTATTTCTTTCCTCATTTAAAAATTTTAAATTCCCTTAAACCCAGATTCAATTTTTTTTTTCTTTCCCAATTTAAAATTTTTAGATTCCCTCATTTAGCAGAACTCTCCTCTCCCTTCCCCATCTCTCTTTCCCCACAAATTTCCATACCCAACCTCAATACGAAATCCTAACTTATGTACATCAATCAAACACTCAACTTTTATTTAATATGTAAAACAATATACAAACCAATAGAAACTCATAAGTGACACAAAATTGCACCAATTGAAAAAGATCTGATCAAAAAAAAAAAAAAAATTAACTTTTACTGAGAAATATTCTATTCAAATATAGATTAACATTAAATTTTAATATAAATAATTTAAACTCTTATTTCTTTTGTAAAATTTAAAATTTTAACATGTGTTTAAATTATACTGTTGACATTAAGTGAGAGGGTGAACTTTATCCTCCAAAGGAGGACCATATAAAAAAAGCTAGACTGCTAAATCATTTGTGGTACTTGTAAACATTGACAAGGGTATTATTGTACTTCCAAACTAAGCTAAAGTACGCAGAAGTATACGTTCCCTTCTCTCATTCAACTAAACCTTTCTGTTTCTCTCTCTACACCCATTACCACCACCGCCACCTCTCTCTATCTCTCTCCAAACAAGACATAATGAGAGGAAAATAAAACAAAAGGTGGTTGATGCATGAACAAATTGAGAATCTTCCTCTCTCTACCCCTCTCACCACCCTTGCTTTGTAATCCATTGACCATCTGACAGATTTGCCTTAAAACCCATTTGGCTCTTCTTGGTGTTTACGCTCCACCAACCACCTCCTTGCCTCTCCGGTCAGGTACGAACACACCCACTTCTTGTTTATAATGGGCTTGTTTTGCTTCTCTGTTTGAGTCTCTGTGAAGGTATGTGCTCTGCTTTGCTAATTGATACTTAGTTTCTTGTTTATATGTGGGCATTTGATTTCATGGATTTGAAGCCATATATACATATAACTGGTTATATCTCATGGTTTTCCTTGATTACTGTGGTTTTGCTTGGAAAAGATGTGTATTTGACTTTGTTCCCATTTTGGGTTTGTTCTCTCTCCACACAAAAGGTGGTAGGTTGGTGGGTTGACTTATCTTCCAAGGAGAGAGAATTGGGAATTCTTTTAAAGGAAGGGCTTTGGGCCTTTTTGTTGATTTGTTTGAATTCTAATTTTGTTTATCATGATTGGTTTTTTGCGATTACTCTATGCAAATTATATATCAATGGCATATCATTATCAACCTAGATATCAACTTCTCTTTTTGGGTAATTATAGTGGGGGTACTTACAACTACAAATGATTGAATGTACTTCTTTCATGAAACCTGAATAAAAATTCAATTGGAACTTATTGCATGAAATTTTTGAGTGCTTCTTCTGGGTTTCGGCATTTTACAATTAATTGTTCTAACATAAGCATCATTGGTGTCTTATTTACTTTTGTTCAACTGCATATATATAATCTAAGCTGCAAATTAACGAGTTTTGAGCTGCGTTTAGCTTGAAATCTGGCTAGAACTAGAAGTTTGAATTGCATTTGTTTGATGGTCTCTCTTTTGCGTCTTAGATGATATTAGGTGGTGGCATTTGGAGTTCAAAATTTTCTCTTGGGATAGATAATCTGATAGTTTCATACTTTCATGTAATTAATGAATCGTTAAACTAAAGGGTACATGTTATATTAGAGAAGCTTCAGAATCAAGAGCATTTAGGAGAAAATAGGACTAAAGCTAAATATATGGAATGTGTATGTAGCAAAATTAAGAATACAAATGGTACTGCAGTGAAGATATAAGGTTAAAAGATGTCAATGGTGAAAAGTTCCCCTACCCAGTCTTGATTATTGGTAGGGAGAATGAAATTGGGAATGAATGAAAAATTAAACAAAACAGGTATTAGGCCAATCATGTTTTAAGGGATGGGATGTTGGGTGGTTGTGAAATGAGTGTTGTGTAATGCATATGTTGAGAAGGATGTGTAATGAGACAAGAAAGGATAAAATGAACACATTTGTGAAATTGTAGAAGTAGCGCCTGTTGGATATAAAATGAGAGAGTTTGAGAATGTTCTGAAACAGGTTGTTCAGTGACTTTTTTCATGCATGGATTCTTCTTATGCCAACCTACATAGTGTTCCATGTAACCTTGAAATATGATCTTGCTTATTGTCCCTTGATACCACTTCCAGTAACTTTGTGGCATCATTTTGTTATTCTTTCAATATTATTTTTGAGTAGGCTGTCAATATTAGTAAGTGGTAACTATCTTCACAATAGTTTCAAGTGTTGTGTAGAAAATGTTTATTCCTTTAGTTATTTTAAATTTTTTTGCTATTTATTCTTTAAACTTTGGGACAGTCTGACAATTGCTTACGGATGTATCTCTATTATAACTGATCAGCTTTTCATTATATTCTAAGGCTATCAACTGAACGATTGTGCTGTTCTTAGAAAATCGGAATCATCAATGGTGAGCATACGAAGGCGCAAACTCTTAGGACTTTGCTCAGGTATGTGCAAGTGAAAAAAATTGCTTTAGTTAATGACAAACTATTTAGTGGAGACATTCTTGGACTGTTTTATGCATCATATCATGTTCTTCTTTCTTGTCAACTACTGTTACATTTTCATATCTCTTAAATAATCACAATTTTAGTGATAGGGAACCTAATGTGTTAAATCTCTTGTGCTCAAAGAAAATAAAATTCACCACATTTCGTGTCGCCTTTGTAGGGCGAAATTCTTTCTTGGCTCCACTTTCTAGGTTCTCTGACTGTGCAAATGCTCTTGAAAATCCTGTTCAGAACACAAAACCAGGTAGTGTGCATGCTATGAATTCAGTTTTTGTTCACCAGCCAAAGAGTGTGCATCCTATGCCATCAGTTGATGCTGACCAGCCAGAGGAGGTACAGCATGTGCAGATTTTCTACATTTTTCTGTGCAGTTCTTTTGTTCTTTTATTTTTTATTTTTTATTTTATATTTATTATCTACTTCCTTGGTCTAGACAATTTTTTGTGACAACAATGGACATGCATCAGATGCAGTAACCTTATCTTTGAAGTGTTTGCTAACTTCCTCTCTGTCTGCCACTGAGTGCTGCACTCTGTTGGACCATATTGAGGAGTTATGGGCAGTCTTGGAGATTGAACTTCACCAATATGTTTAACATTAAGTTGGTAACAATGATAGTGTAATATGAAGTCGCCAAGCCACCAATCGTGTCATGGTAGTTATTGAAAGCTAGAAGTAGGTCAATATTTGAAAATGTAGTTGTTCCTTATTGACAACTATTCAGAGACATAGCCCTTGTAGTAAAATAATTAAGTGCTAGTATGACATCTAAATGGAAGGGGTACAGTTAGGGGTTCCATCTAGCCTTTGGTAGAAAATACCTATCAAGAAAAGTTGAAATCTCCAAAAATGAAGAAAAGGGTAGAGTATGACATCTAAATGGAAGGAGTACCGTTAGGGGTTCCATCTAGCCTTTGGTAGAAAATACCTATCAAGAAAAAGAAAAAAAAAAATACCTATCAAGAAAAGTTGAAATCTCCAAAAATGAAGAAAAGGGAAGAAATAATATATAATGGGCAGATTGAAATGCTATTAAGGACCCACTGCGCTTTATTCAAAATGCTCTACAATGCACTGGCTGACCCCATCCGTGTGGGATAAAGTCAAGGATGATGATGATGACGGTTTACACCGTTCGCAACGAGGACTGAAGCCAGAAAACTTAATATATAGATGCCTAGGTGATCAGTTGATACTTACAAAGAGACGAGCCGCTGAGAGCTTACAGAGTTTATAGGGTTGCAATTAAGAAAATAGAGATGCATTAGGGGCATAAATGGTATATAATTTTGTGCTCTATCACTGGGAATGAGCAAGGAAGCAGCAGAAACCTTTGTGCACTGAGAGATTTTGTTTCAAGATGGGGTTTCTGGTGCCTTTCCTATGTAATTTCTCTGGCCATGCTACATATTGTCTTGCATGTGCATTAATCTAATTATTTATTTACTATATGGATCTTGATGTGGATACGTGTTCAGAACAATAAGTGATATTAGATCTTTTATCCAATAGCCATAAAATTTTATGTTTGTGCTGGTTATGAAGTTCCTTGTCATCTCCATTGTTGCTTTTAGAGGGATGTCCTATAAGACTTCAGCAGGAGCTTATTTGTCAATCTCCATAGGAGTTGAGATTTTTGTTAATCTCTATGCCTATTTTTTATGTGGTGTTGGATGTTCTTCTTTCTCCTTTGTATATGATTCATGTACACCATTTTTGATTCATGAATTCATACTATTTATCAAAAATGGGCTTCATTGCAGTATATCATCTTTCATTCACAAAGTGGTACTAGGTATGAGCATTGACACTACGGAGGGGTGTGAAGTAGAGGGACCAGTACCCACTGTGGATCTCCTTATTTGAGGTAGCTGAGAGGGGTACACTGGATACAACAAACCTATTCAGCATATGCTACAGAGTCTCCAGATCCATTTATGAAGTTTGATGGATTTGAGACACTTATCTCATCAGCTAATGTGAAGTTGCAAGGGGAAGCCAACAGAGGGAATTTTGTTGGCTCAATATGATTACTGTAAAACAAAAATTTCTCAATCCTTTTATCTAACCAAAATCTGGTAAATGACAGGGCTTATCCATTTATCAGAAATTCCGGTATGGTGTTTCACCTAAGTCACACATAGCGGGAGCGAAAGTGTGAGAGCGTCAAAGTCTAAATTTTTTGAGAGCGTGAGCGTCTATATATTAGATTTATATTTAACTATTTTATGTTATAATTTTTGTATTTTTTGGTTATTTATTTAAATTTATATGTAAATATATTCATTGATTAATTATTCCATTAATAGTATATGTAATAACAATTAGCTGACTTCTTCACAAAGAAATATGTGGCTTAGTGGTGGGTTATTTTTTATATTCTTCAATATGTTGTCTTTTCAATCCTTTGAACCTTCAGGTTCTTAAGGCCATTTTTCCAAACATATATATCTATTTTATAGTGGTATAAGTGTGTCATACAACTGGATATTTATTATATGGTCGTATATGTCATATAGTTGGAGCTGGGATGCATGTGGAATGTAAGTAAATAACGTGTGAGAAGTGTTCTTGTGTGGAATGGCGTACTCAAAATGCAAATTCACGAATTGCAAAAAATGAATTTGCGAATTTCAGATGAATCCACTCTCAAAGCGCAAATACGTGTGTGGAACTTGAGAGTGGGTCCTCCTCTCGTGAATTGTGTGACTAAGTGTTTCACTCATTGTCTCTCTTTTCCATTTTGGGATGGTTGGTGCATATTGGGAATGATCTTAAAAAGTTGAAGAGTGGTAGAGTGGAAGAGAGCTATGTTACATAGATTCGGGGTATGTTTGTCTAGTGTGGATATGTGTCGAATTTTCGTTTTTGTCAAATTAAAGTTCCAAATGTAAGGACACAAGGATGGCGAAGTATTAATATTGTTTTTATTATTCTTTTATTTTCTAGAGTAAAATGGTATTTTTATGTCACATTATGTGTTTGGAAAAATAACAGAGTAAATATAACATAATAAGAGGGTATGCATATGGAATCCACTCAACTCAATTCATTAACAAAACAAGTGACAAGTTGAAATAACAGAGTCATCTCACATATCAAAATATTTCAAAATAAAAAAAAAAAAAATTCTCTTTTTATTTTAGGTACAATATTTTTCGGAACTAATACTTTAGATTCAATTAGATCAAATCCACATTTCTTCTTTTGCGCTCCTTAATAACCAAACAATTGAATTGCTTATAATGATAACTATCCAATTTTTGTCTTCTTTTGCTACTCAATTTTTATCTTCACAATATTCTTCAGACATTTTATTCTATTGCTGGACTAAGGGTAGGGTAGTCAGTGATTTTTTTTTTGAAATAGTTGATATTTTGATAGAATGATAGAAAAGGAATTCTTTGGTCCCGAAAGCTGAATAATATTCATTCCTTGAAGTGGTTTTTCGGGCATTCTTCAGACATTTTATTCTATTCCAATCATAAGTTTGACTTTCAGATATGTTTGCTAGGTTCATGTTTGATCAGTCATGTCGGCCATATATTCCATTCTCATATTTAAGTGAGAATAAAATTGCATTCTTTAAAATTTTCAAGTGAGAATAAAATTGCATTCTTTAAAATGTTTTTATATATAATCATTTGAGTGAAAAGAAAACTTTTTTTTTTTTTTTTTTGTTATCATTCACTCAACTGGTTTTTAATTATCACGAATAAATCTATCCCTTTCATATCCGTAGCATTTGAATTTAGTGTATTTTGTTATATTGTATGATAATTATTTTGAAATGAAACTAGTTTTAATTATCTACTTTGGTATATGGGAATGACTTGTATAGCTTTTGTTTTTTAGTCTATTTTGATTTTGTTTGATAATTTTGCATGGTTAATTAATTTTGATTGGTATCAAGTTTTTAAGGTATCAAATAGGAGATATTTTTCAAGACTTGGCATAATTTGCTAGTGCTTTGCAGAAGTTAGGCAGGAGAAAGAAAATATAATCAATAAAGAAACTAAGATTGCTGAGATATTTTTTTGCACTCTTCACATCTAATTCCCCACTCCAGTAAGGACTGGAACAACCAGACTAGACTGCTCATTCCTCTTTGTCTTCTTTATTTTATTATTATTTTTTTCTCTTTTATTGTATCTTCTCATGAATGGAACAAGGGGTTCCCTATGTCAATCTGGTTGTACTATAATATTAGTGCTTTGCAGAAGTTAGGCAAGAGAAAGAAAATATAATCACTAAAGAAACTAAGATTGCTGAGATATTTTTGCACTCTTCACATCTAATTCCCCACTCCAGTAAGGACTGGAACAACCAGACTAGACTGCTCATTCCTCTTCGTCTTCTTTATTTTATTATTATTTTTTTCTCTTTTCTTGCATCTTCTCATGAATGGAACAAGGGGTTCCCTATGTCAATCTGGTTGTACTATAATATTTGTGTCGTCCAACTCATATCATCCAACTCATATGTGTGCATGTGCAAATTTTGATACATGATGAGTCTGTTGAAAGTTGACCCTGGCAGACATCTAGTGATTTATTTGTTTTTTATGATTGGATAAATAACTTATATTTTTAGATTTCTAAACCGTCATATTGTGATTTCAATGGTTTGTTGTAGTTTACGTTCTGATAAGCACATATACATGTTAAATTGCTAACATATGAAGTTACGTACACTCTGATTGTTTTATGATTTGAAAGATTACCTATGAGGTGTTATTCATTTCACCTTGTAATGAAGTTTATTTTAATATTAAAAATGTTGTTTCCCAGAAAACTATCTCAAAAGTAGTTCCTGGATCATCAATTATATCTGGTTCTAGCTCATCAAAAGAGCAGGATAATCAACTGTTTCCAGGTTCGTCTTTTCATTTTCACGTGTATGCATGTAAGTTACTATTGACCTAGTGGATTCATTGTTATCTATCACGAACCTTTACAAAGGTCCTCAATATTTATGGTTCTTGTTGAATTATTTCTTGATAACCATGTCATTAAAAGAAAAATACTTGATCCTCATAAACTATCATAGGTCTTGATAATGACATGGTATCTCTTGATAACCATGTCATTATATCTATCATAGTTCTTGTTGAATTATTTTGTCCTTAAAATCTCTTAAACTGGTACTTGTGCCATGAGGATGAACAATATTGAACATTCCTAGACACTCTCTAGCTGGTAGTTTCAGTGGATGAGCAGTTTGACTATTTTCTAGCCAGGTTTGGCTGGAGCCCCAGCTAATAGGATGCATTAATATTATGCCCTAATTTTTTTTATTAACTAATATTCTTAGGCCCCAGCCAATAGTGGTCCCTGCAATTTAATTTTATCCTATATTTATTTCCATCTAAAGGATAAATTGTATTGGAAGTGATAAAAATTTTCATTTAGTCCTAATTTTTCTCCACTTTCCTACCTTTTGTATTGAAACTCTTAATTTTTATCCTTTTCTCTGTTCACATTTTTTCTCCCCTCCTCTCCTCTCCTCACTAAAGATGGTTTTTTTTTTTTCCTCTTCTCATCATCACAGCAGCCAAGGATGTTACTAATTTTGGGCCCAAACCAATAACATTTATTAATAGTGGGCCCTACAATTTAATTCATCGTATATTAATTCATTTGCTACGGATAATTGTTATTTATTTATTTTTTTCCTTGGCAAGAAACTCACACCCCCATTTGCCCTTATGGGGACTTGAACCCTTCCTCGCCTCTCATTTTGAAAGGTAGAGGAGATGCCACTGGACTACAACGCCTTTCCTACCATTTCTAATTGCTAGTGGAAAGTGATAAAACTTTTCGTCTACTCCTTGTTTTTCTCCACTTTCCAACCATTTCTATCAACTCCTATATATATGTGTGTGTGTGTTTAATCCTAATTCCTCACGTTTTTTTTTTTTTTTCCTCCTCTCCTCATTATAGACATTTTTTTTCCTCCTCTCCCCAATCTCTTCATCTGAACTAAAATCCTCTATATATATCTCTCTCTCTCTCACTGTCTCACTCCATCTCCGAAATTTTTTATTTTTTATTTATTTTGTCACATCTTTGGTATTTTGGACTTTTCTATATTAGCATTGTTGGAAATCATATTTATAAGTTGACTCGATGATTGTGGCAGATTTTTTGGGTCTTCATTATAGGCTAATGTTTAGGCTTTTGTTTAGGGATTTGATTTTTATTCTCTTTCCATATTTGTAATTTTCCTCTTATATATAATGATAGTTAGGCTCTCAAATTGAGTATGCCAATTTTACCAAATTACTTTTTGGTATTAGAGCCACCGTCGGAGATGGCGGCATAAGCCTCATCTCCGACGGCGGTCCATCATTATCCCCTTCATTTTTCAAATTTCTCTTTCGTCATTTGATTTTGTTGGAACTTTCTGTTTTGGGTTGTTTAAGGTCTCTATTTTGTTGGAGCTCTCTGTTTTGGCCAAGCGGCCTTTTTCTTGGCGTTGTTTCGGTATTTCCAGCTTTGTTTCGGATCTTTTTCATCTCTCGGATGGATCGCTCCGCTGTAGGGATGCTCTCCTCCCAGGTTAAGACCCCTTATTTGGGGGTATTCCCTTAGCATTTGACATGTGCAAAGGGTCTCTCGGTACTATTTGTGCCTTGTTTAGGCTGTCAGTTTGTTCAGTAACATCGTTCTTTGCCTTGTTGGGCTGTTGGTGTGTTCGGTAGCATCATCCTTTGCCTTGTTGGGCTGCTGATGTGTTCAATAGCATGGTGTTTGCCATTTCCATCTCCAACAGTATTTATTGCCTTATTTGGGCTGCCGGTGTGTTCGGTAGCTTTGCAATCTAATTGTGAAAAGAATATGGTCGTTTCACTTCTTGATATAGTCAAGTTGAGCTTGGTTAATATCTTCCCTACAACTTGAGGGGGAGTGTTGGAAATCATATCTATAAGTTGACTCGATGATTGTGGCAAATTTATTGGGTCTTTATTATAGGCTAATGTTTAGGCTTTTGTTTAGCGATTTGATTTTTATTCTCTTTCCATATTTGTAATTTTCCTCTTGTATATAATGATAGTCAGGCTCTCACATTGACTACGCCAATTACATCTTAAAAAGCGAGGAGGATGCTCAATTACATCTTATTGAGCCAACTCTATTTTTGGCTAGAACTAAGTGTGCGACTGATGGTGTTCTTCAAGATAAATAATCAAAACCAAATTGAAAATTGAAAAAAAAAATATATATATATATACCAAAAATGGGGGAAAATATGAAGATTGTCGGAGAAAGAAGAAAGATTAATTGGAAGAACTTAAGATATGTGAATTAATAAGTAACTCAATAAAAGTCAAGACTATAATTAGAGAAGAATGGAAAATCAAAATATTGGTGAATTAGAAGGATATAATAATGATATTACTGTTAATGAAGTATTTCGTTTCAAGATATGCAATAAAAGATTTTGTAGTTATTGCTAAAACAAAATGTGAATATAAGGAAAAAAAGAAGCAGAAAAGGTGTGCACAAACACTCAAAACAACGATGCCCAAAAAGTAACACAATTTTGTTGATGAGATATTTCCACCTCCTTAACCAAATATGGTAGATGGATAATTGTTCTTTCTTGTTAAATTTAAGGAGTTGAACTTGCTTGATCGATTTGCAAGCATCATCTGACCTTTTGATGACATATGAAACTAGCTGATCATTGAATTTTCGTTTTGTCAAACGTTCAATTGAAAAGTTGAGTATATATGCAAGTTATTAATAGAATCTCACTTATGCAAAAGCATTCCACGAGTCACATTTAAAAATCTCAAACTCTACAATCTCACCTGAACTTAAGACGATGAAAACATATCGGAACAACTAATACACCTTTTCCTTACGAAAAAGGAAAAGAAAAACTAATACACCTTTATTTACACAATGCTCACTGGCTAGAAAGCACGGATATGCCTAAAAGGACAGAATCCGTGTTAGACATCGACGTGACGGACACACCCCCGATACGTGTCGGACACGCAAAAAAACATGTTTGATTTTTTATTTTTTATTTTTTTAATATTTGGACATGGCGCGGACACAACATGGATACACTGTGGAGATGCATCCGACACACCATGGATACGTGTCCTGAAATCGACTGCCTCTTTTGATCAACTTCTGGTGTGACTTCCCCCGAAGCCTACCCCATCCAGGGTTTGAATATAACATTTGCATCCACTCCACATCCAAATCCGACATGCACATGAGCAAGGAATTCTTAGGGATTTTTTATATTAAAACAATCATATATTTATTTTTATATTTTAGTTCAAAGGTTCAAACTCTTGCACGATCATCTTTGACTCTCTCTTGTTCTCCCACCGACCAAGCTTCTCTGCCAGTGGATGGTCTCTCTCTCCTCTTTTCTCTCTTCCTCTTCATCCTCCTCTTCTTTTTCTTCTTCTTCTTCTTCTTCACAAACCTTAGATACTTCTTTTTTTCCTTTCACAACAAAATTCTGTCTCTTTTTCCTTTTCCCTCTTGTTTCCATGAAAATTTTCTCTTCTATGTTTTTTACCTATATTTTTAACTAAGCACTAATTCTTTTTCTAACAAAACCCTAATCCTAATTGGTTCTTTGTTTTCTTTCTCTTTCTTAACCCTCTTTCTATCATTATTTCTTTTTCCCAACAAAACACCTTTTTTTTTTTCATTGTTAGGTTGATAAAAAATAATATTACTCTTAATTTCTTAAAGTACAACATCATATATATAATATTTATTATTCGTCGTGTCCACGCTGTGTCCATGTCCTATTTTTTAGGATTTGTTGTGTCGCCATGTCTGTGTTTGTGTCATATTCATATTCCGTATCCATTTCCGTGCTTCTTAGCTCACTGGTGTTCCTGCACAAATAGTGCAAAGAGCTTAATTAGTTATAATTACGTAACTTATAACAAGCAGTTAGTTTTAGCCATTTCTACATGCTCCATCTCCACGTGTAACTCCTGATATCAGCTCAGGGAGCAGACCTAATTTAATTCCTTTGAAAATTCCCAAATGTTAAATGCTCGTTTTTAACAGGTTTCAAAAATAGATGCCATTTTATTTCTGGAATGTCTTAGTTCAGTATCATAATGGCATTGCAAGACTTTCATCCTACTCCATTTGTATTCATGACTTCATATAGGCCTATGTTTATTTATTGAACTCCACGGGCCATCGCTCGGTGCATTGGTAAACTGCTTGTGTTGTGAAGCATGAGAAAGTGGGTTGAATCTTGAGAACAGCCACTTTGTACAAAAATGCCAAAGTTTATGTCTGCATCCTATCCACCCCTTTCAACACGTTCAATAACGTGAGCAACGATCCCTTTTGTTTATAGAATTCCCTCAGTTTTACAGTAGAACCATTTCTATGTGAAAAGACAGAGAGAAATGGCTCTAAGCTCCCTTCTCCCCTCTTGAAAACCCACCCCCTCCCCCCCACGTGTTAATGCCTCTGCATTGCTCTCTATGTTGCCTTTCTGATTATACTGACACATGTTTTCTGCAGTGAAACAAGTTAAACGTAGAAAGCGACACAGGAGGAAAAATTTTGAAAACCAAGAACAGTGTGTAATGAGAGGTGTCTATTTCAAGAATATGAAATGGCAGGCAGCAATAAAAGTTGACAAGAAACAAATTCACTTGGGTACTGTTGGCTCTCAAGAAGAGGCTGCTCATTTGTATGACAGGTATAAATCTGAGTTTCACCTTTTGCTTGGTACCAGCATTTGTTAGAAAAAGGACCATATTTTAACGGAGTTTGATAGAACCATAACTTCTGCTCTCCCCATATTGAGGTGCCCTTCATATGCCACTATAAAAGATATAAAACACATGAATACTTAAGTTGGAAAGTAGTTAATGCAGCTTAACTAACACCATCTCTACAATTAAGGTGAATTGCTAGGATAAGAAGAATAGGAATTGGAATTGAGGGGACTCAAAATGGGAGGAAAATAGAAAGAAAAATGAGATTCACAGAAATTACATGCACAAAACTTGTAGAGTGGTTGAATGTGTGAGAAAAATGCAGTTTATGGTGATAGAAAAAACTTCTTTGCTATCTCCGTGAGGGAAAAAAACTCGAAAGTATTTGAAAACTGTAGATAACTGGTAACAGTAATCAATTAAAGAAAGAATATATGATTGGGTTAGATTAGGAATTTAGTAGGTTTTGGTTTGTAAGAAAGATAGTTAGAGACCAAAGAGTTTTAGAATATCCGTAGCAAAGCAGAGAGCTATTCAAACTTCAACTTCAAGGTGTCTTTTTCAATAGTGAAAAATTCATAATGTATTCCGTGTATTTTAAGGCTTCTGTCAAAGTATTGCCCAAGTACTTGCAGGCTCATAGTCTCTGTGTCTTGGTTGGTCCTAATTGTCACAGTAGTGGAGATTCCTCTCCCTACCCAAAATGTGGAACCTCGTAATTTCTGCCATCTCATGTATGCTTAATTCACTCACACATTTGTTTTCCTGTAGCATGTCCAAGTATGTTATTGTGTGAAATAACATGCTCAAAAACTTGTCTGCACTTTTCCCATATTCGTAGGGCTGCTTTTATGTGTGGGAGGGAACCTAACTTCGAACTGTCAAAGGAGGAGAAGCAAGAACTCAGGAAATTCAACTGGGAAGAATTCCTAGCAATGACTCGTTATGCTATTACTAGCAAAAGTAAAGTTTCTACTTCTTACCTAATCAATTTGTGTTGTTAATTTATATGGTCTTTTACTAACAATTGTATGTGATATATTCAGGACATCAGAGAAGAAGTGGGGAAGGTTCACGAAGAAAGTCTGAGTTTCCAACTCGGAACAGTGAGTGGGATGGTGAGCAAGAAATCAATGGCTTCTCAGCCTCGGAAGATGTAGAGCCAGACATTTTAGTCTCTTGAAATTTTTTCTCTTAGGGACAAGGCTGAATAACCTGGTTCTAATAGTTGCATCAGCCTTTCGCCCTCATTGTTCTTTCCGGTGTAAAGGCCCCTATTAGGGCAGATCAAGGTGAAACTTTATGTCTGTTAGTAGTATATCAGTGACTCTAATTCAATAAAGAGTAAATTTCTACATGTGCCTTAATCACCGTCTTCTCAAAGTCATAGATTCGCCTTTTGCCAAAGCAAATGCTCAAAATGTTTTCTCAAACAAATCATATGCTGCAGTTGTTTTGCATAGATGCACGGGAACGTAGAATCTTAAGGGGTAAGTTGATGAGCCTAAATTAGTTTACTAGTCGCTTTGTGAATTCCTTGGTTCATCAAATTTTCAGTAACACCTACATTTTTGTTATCAACTTTATTCTTGCTTTGAAATTGTACATCTGGAATCTTGTAGTCTGCAATTGCTGAGAGTACCAATCCTCACTCTTTATGAGCCAAGGATGTGGTATTTCCTTATCTTGTTTCCCTTGATGGTCTCAAAATAATGGTTGGATTGGTTCTATGGTTTAAAATTTCCAAGAACTTACTAAACTATTTCTGGAGACTTAAACCCTCGAATTTCTATTTTAGGTGGGAAAGTACCATTAAGGCATTGCCCTTGGTTATTGTATGTATAAATAGTTTTTTTTATTTTTTATTTTTTATTTTTATAACCGGGGTGTCCAGGGCTTTGCCCCGACTGTACCCGTGTAAGGCGCCTCCCCATTGTATGTATAAATTGATCACACTTTGTCAAAGTTGAACTTCATTATTTTTTATGGTTGCTAATCTATCTGAATATTGATTGGGTTTAGAATCTTAGGTCCCGGACATTATTTTGAACTAGTTTTCTGTCAGTTGGCATATTTTGAGGGATTGCACCCGATTGGTATGTGTCATTTGATTTGAACACTGAGCATGAGAGAATCTATATTTATCTATTATAAACTAAGAGTCTTTGATGGACACTGGTGATTGGAGTCGCATAAAAAACCAATTGTCAATTGTAGCATTACTATTATAATTAATGAAGTGTTGAACGACAATACTCTATCATAATTTATGAAGTTATGAACATCATTGTATTGATAAGTAGAAGTGACATATCCCAATAATTCACAGATATTTGAAAATAACTTGCAAGTTGAAATATTGTAAAATTCTTAAGCAAAAAAGCTTCATTCAACTCATAATTTCACTGCAAAAACTAAAATAAAATTGAAATCTACTAAGTTTTCATCTGGAGAACTAAAAAAAGAAAAGAAAAAATCTATTACTTGTCTTCATTATTTCAGTAGTTAAAGGTGTCTTTATATTGTTGTTTTCCACGTCATGAAGGAAATTATCTTTCCGGCAAGAGTGGAAATGATCAATCCAACTTATCTTACATCCCTTTTCCGGGTTGGTTGCTGAGAAAAGAAAACCAAACAAAAAATTTGAAGCCTATCTCCATTTTATTTATTTATTTATTTATTATTATTATTATTGAAATGGTGAATCTTTAAATCTTACACATTTTTCACATTTAAAATGGAATAGAAATAATATTGGAGTTTGTGTCCGACCCTCGGCCGCACATTGCTTTAAATTTTCAAAAATATAATAATAGAAACTCTCATATTCTCATTTCCATTTATTTATTTATTTTTGGCGTTTTTCAATTTCCTTTTTTTTGATCCAAACATACCCCTCCCTTTCCCTTTTCCTTTCATTTCCCTTCTCTCTCACTCCATTGAAAAGCTACTGTACTGTGAACAAGTCATATACCAGAAAGAAAGAGGAAACAGAAATGGGTTCGGACAATGAAACCCTAGACGAAGTCGCCACTTCGTCTGATGGCTGGAAGGAGCGCATTATCATACCTACCCTTCTTGCAGGTTTCTCTCTCTCTAACCCTAATTTTTATCGTTCTCTTTTACCCCCTTAGTTTGGATCCTTAGAATTCAAAACTACTAACGAAACATTCCAACTGAAAGATCAGAAGATCCAAAATTATATTTTTTTTCTTTTATGTTCTGTTATCTTCCTACGTTTTTCTTACCAACCAAACAGCGGTAGTGGAAGTTTGGATTGAGATATCATATACTAAATTTTTATTGTTTTATTTTTCGGATTTAAAATTTAGGGATTGCTGGTGGAGGAGCTGGATTGGTATCTAAGCATCGCAAAGTTCACGGCCTCGCAAACATTTCTGCAACATATGCCACCAATTTTGCCATTGTCACGGGTTGCTATTGTGGTAATCTTTTTCTCTTTGTTAATGGTAATGGACGTCAATTACAATCACATTGATTTATAACTCTTTTATACAATCACATATAAAAATGCATTTGCTTGTGGGGATATCAAATGTGATGATGCATTTCTTGAATTTTGAAAACTTAATGCACCATTGATTGTGCAGTTCAGTTCAAGTGATGGCTTGTATTTCCCATGGAAGCTTAGAAATTCCCATATTCATTATATTTTTATACTTCTAATAGCTTTGTTTGTTGTTCAACGGTCATTTTTGTCTTTTATTGCAAACTATTTGATCAATCTAAAGAATGCCTTCAGACTAACTACCACCGAAGCAAAATAATAAATAAAGAAAGAAAGAAAGAAAGAAAAGCGAGTGACATCTTCATGTGTCGTGCTCAGAATTCTTCATATTAAGTTTCAAATTTCAGCTGTGACAAATTTTTGGGTTCTTGGGCTTGACGGTTATATCTCAGAATTTCTTAATTCAGTATCTTTTTTCTATTATTTGATTTGATTCCCACAACACAGTGTAGTATTGCCCTTTTATGAATTGGCACAGTAGAAGGCATATGAACTTTGAACAATGTTTGCAGATAACTGATAATCATGGAATTAATTTGAGGTAATGCTGTGTCTTGTAAACCAATTATAGTAGAAATTAAAAGGAGATAAAATGCAAGGCAAATAATGGTGATTGGCTATTGAGGGAATCACCTGAGATAATTACTAAGCTGGATTTGGGTCAAAGGGGCATCTAATAATTGTTTGATTTAAACATGTTTGATTTGTTTGGTCTGACAGGTGCACGTGAGTTTGTAAGAGCAAGTAGAGCTTCGACGCCTGATGATTTATTGAATTCAGCAATTGGAGGTTTTGGTACTGGTGCTATTCTAGGCCGCTTTCAAGGTTAGATTCCTTTACACTGGCTGTCTCTGTAACATGCACGCAACAAACGTGCTTTCATGCACAAGTAAATTCTTGTAAATTTCTCTTTTTTCTCTTTTAAAACTTGTATGGAAAAAATTCTGGCCAAGTGTATGGATCGTAGATTTGATGCTCTGAGATTTGAGACATCTCAGCTGATCTTTCTGCATATTCCTGTGGGAACTTAGACTGGAAGATCTAAGAAACTGGAACATCTCACTTGATCTGTGTGCTTATTATTAAATTTTTAATTGATTATGCTGCTGGTCATGCAAATACTTGAAACCAAGCCGTCCAACCTAATATTTGGGATCATTAAGAAGAATGAAATAGATTGGATAAGTTTATTAGGCTTGTTGGCCTTTTCCCATTACCATTCATTCCTTTGTGGAACTCATTGAACATTGCACTTCTTCGCTGCCTGTGTAGTCCACTCCGTATAGGGTCTAAATTGGGGAGGTTGTCTTATCTTTGAAACAAAAAGGTAGTCTTGAATCAGATTTTTTTACTTTGTTAAATTTGTATTTTTAAATTGGTAAGGTTAACTTTAACACCTCTGATTGCTACCCTGCATTGAAATTTCTTGTTTTGATTTTGATTGGTTAAATAAATGTTGGATTCTATGAAGAAGAAATGGTGGTTGTGTTACCAAAATCAAAATTCTTGATTTTTTATTTTGATTTGTTGTTACAAACATATATATATATATATAATGGCAGAGAACAAGCAGTTGAGTACCCTTTTTCACATTTGTGGTGTCATTGGGTAAATTGGCAGACTCCATTATATATTTATATGTATGAAGAAGAAATGTGTGGATCTTTCGAAGGTGAGAGGTGAGAGTTTAGAGATAGATAGAGAGTGTCTGTGGGTCAAAGAGAGATGATCGGAGGTTTTTATATTGAAGATGGAGAGTTTGGCTAATTGGTTTGGTTTTACTGATTTTTTTGTTAGAGAACTGATGGAGAGAGAGTAAACTGAATCAAAAAGTCAATTTAGCATCATTCGGGTTAGAAGGGTAGAAAAGTAATTTGATTTTCTTTGATGACATTAACCACTACATAAGCAATTCAGATTATTAAAAGCGAGGGCAATATGGGTACTTTAACACAGGACGTTAAATGAGTTAACGGCGCTAACTCTGACAGACAGGTGGTGTCAGAGAGATTTTTCAAATAGTTTCATCTGTGGGTAAATAAGGCCAAACCTCAGGGGAGGTCTAAGGTATGTAGCAGCTAAAAGGTGAGTTATATCGTGACTTCTGAATACAACCCATTTGTGCTTTGCTACAAAATCTCCTCTTTCTGCTCTGCTTGTGATACTTTGCATTGCTCATGAACTTTTCATCGTGTCAATCACCATGCTCTTACCCTGTCATAACTAATTACGAACCAGTGTTGAATTAAAGTGCAGAAAGATCTTGATATATATACCTACGTTAAGCCTGTCCTTTTAACCATAATCTCTAAGTGGTAAAATTTCTCTGCTTTCAGGATGCATCTCTCGTGACCTGTGTTCTTTTTCCTCGTAAAAATATTATGAGTGAAAGTGTTAATTTGATAATCATGGGAAAGGCTTGTTTGCCATTGATCTTATTTTTCAGTCTGTCACATTTATGATCCCTATTTATTCTTTTGTTGTTTATATTTTTGAGTGTGCTTAAACTTATCAGAAAATAAAAAAATAAAAAAGTAAATAAATTTAGTGTGCTTAAAACTGTCATCTACACTCCTCAGACCTGGTTGCCGAGAATCCTACTGGTGCTCCATTGATGGCCATGGCCTTCCTGCAACAAACCCCATATTGATATCTTGCTACAATGAAACAAATCCCATTCCTCTATAGTAGTGGTCTTTCAATATTCTGTTTGATTTATCTCTAGGGTATTGCATTACTTATCAAAAAAAATAAAAAAATCTTTTAGGATATTGCAAAATGGCCTCTGCATGTCACAAAATGGCCTCTGCATGTCACAAAGTAGCACGGTAGCACAGCATCTGTATTGCACGCCTGGAGAACTATTGACAGACCTGAAGCACTTTTACTGCCTCACCACCAAAGTGCCTTCTAACTTAATACTCACAAGAAGTCATGTTTCATCCATCCTTGCACAAGAAATATATATATTTATTTTTTGATAAGTCCTTGCGCTAGAAATACAGCCTGACTTTTTTCTTTTTGTCTTATTATCCTCTGGGTATTATTTGAGCTCATCACCTGCTTTTTCCACAAAGTAGAGAAACCATTCGCGTAGTTTTCTGTCCTTCATTCCTTCCTTGTCATGTTAGATTGCCTTTGAGCTGATCTGAAGTTCATTGGTGGATTAGATGGTTATAATCATTCAATTTGATCAGTTACTGAACTAGGATCTGTTGATTATTGATCGTGGGCTTCTATGTGTATGTTATTAAAAGTTTATGTTTTAATACTTCGTGTTGGTAGCAATCAGGTGAATGGTCGTTGTACTTCACCCTTCTTGTTATTCATTTTAATCACTGGTTAACCATTTTTTCTTAATGACATTTCAGGTGGTCAAATTGGTGCCATCCGTTACTCAATTCTTTTTGCTGTTGTTGGAACAACAGTGGATTTTGCTACCCTTAAACTAAAGCCTGTCCTCAAGAGGTTCCGTGAATCCAAAGTTGGGGACAATTTGAAAGTGCCAGAATGGTCACCCATCCAAGTACTTGATGAGGAAGCTCTTGCTGCAAAAAAAGCTCGGGAACAACAGTTATATGCACAAAGAAATGTCCATAATTTAGGCAAAGAAGAAGCTTGATAATACTTTATTTTATATGCTTCCTTTTTTTTTATTTGTGTTGCTTTCCCTTCTCTCAGTAGTGGCATAGCTTAGAAAACAATTAATAAAGGAAGAGGGAAATATGTTTTCATGTTTGTATTCTTTTTCTTCTCCCCTAGTCCATCCATTCTATTGTATTTATATCCTGAGCAACAAGACCCATGCTCAGACAGATACTGTAAGTTTTGTCTTCTATGAGAAAGAAGGGAGCGTTTATCTGTTGTTTTATCAAGTACCTGAAACAGTTCTGAGTATTTAATTATCATTATTAGCTTCAAAACTTCAACCTTCTTGTTCTGTGTGTGAGCACCTTGAAATTTTGAATTTTTGATAGTTGGGCAGCTAGTTAGTTGAGGGTAAGGCGGTCATTTTGCTTTCTTTTTCATGGTTCCTCAACTAGTGTTTGATTTATCTTTAATTCATTTTGTTTCCCTTATTTCAGGGTACTGTAAGTGGAAATACGTTTCAACGAGGCAAAATTCAACCCCGTTTACGTATTCATGCTTTAACAATGTTTTTACATAACCTGATTAAATGATTTGGTCATGCTTTAACAATGTTTTTACATAATGTGAGTAAATGGGATGATAAGCTATTGGAGTTCAAAATGAGAATCCAGGAAACAGTATAGTTTCTTTTTTCTTGTTCAATGATGACAGTTTCTGTTCTCATAAAATGGAACCAGACAGACCCTTCTTGTTTCGGAGGTTTTTTCTTGTTCAATGACGACAGTTTCTGTTCTCATAAAATGGAACCAGACAGACCCTTCTTGTTTCGGAGGTTTTTTCTTGTTCAATGACAGAGTTTCTGTTCTCATAAAATGGAACCAGACGGACCCTTCTTGTTTCGGACCGTGACCTCCGGACCACAATGGAACAATTATGCCACAATAGAGCAACCATACCATCACTAAATTGCTTATGTCATCATTATAGGAGGGATACTGAGTCAATAGGAGACCTTTGCAGGTTTATGAAAAACTCAGTTGGGGTGATTTTCTGGTCAATAGCTCCGTTAATGGAGCGCACCACCCCCCCCCCCCCCCCCCCCCGAGTCATGTTCGCTTGTTCGTGTGGACATACCCTCATGGGTAAATATTGTCACCGCCTTCACTTTTGGACTATAACATCTAAATATATCTTACTGGATGAAGGATGCAAACAGGAGGGGTGACCAACTGTCACAGGCCATGTGAACCAACATGTATCTTTTAACACACAGTTCAGTGCCAACACAAAGATTATAGTAAAATGATAGAAAAAAGATTCAGACTCATGCAAGCCGTTTATATGCATCAAAGCGGAGCTCCAAGCTAACCACATTCACAAAAATTACATCAGGGTCGACAGTCTGCTATTTTGTCACCCTAAATGAATTACAAGTTAATCTATTGGTCATGTTTCAAGATCTCATGAAAGCAGAGAAACAAGGGAGACAAACTCGAGTGTTACCCGGCCCTTGGACCTCGTGTTGATGACAAAGTGTTCCGGGTACTTTCTTAACAACATAAGCAATCCAAACCATGGTTTTCCCTTGGACTCTGGACCAGGATACTCCTCGGATGTGAGATATCTCCTTACACGACTGTGATGCCAGACACTACTATATTGTTCGACCAACTGCACGGACAAGAGTTAGAAAAGTTGTCATTAGCTATGTATCCCAGGTTCAATGTCTCTATAAAAATAGTAAAGCATAAAACTACAGTTGTTTCAAGGCACCCACCAAAATGAATATTGAACAAGAAAATATAAACGACGTTTAAGTCAAAATATCACTGATCAGTGATCTCTGTGAGGAATGGTGGTTATAACTAATGGGCCATCATCATGAATATCTGTGAAAATTTACCAACACATGGAATCCCGACAACCTATCATACATGCAATTAAGTAGATTCAACCAACATACTCAACTCAACAAAGCCGCCTTCTCAACTATTTAATTGACATGAAATGGGAAAAATAACCTGTTTAGTTGCCTTTAAAAAACAAGGAGAGCAGAGCGAAGGATCATAGTGCAATGACACATTTCATTTTCCTGGTTTCAGTAGTTTCAACAACCTAATTTAAATGACTATTGAAACAAAATCTAGTGACAAAATTTCCATGGGACATCCAACACCCACTGAGCCAAGTTAATAGTTTACATAAAATGATGCTTCTTGAAGAAAGAAAGTTTCTGCTGTTTGTCTAAAGAAAAACAGCACAATCACTATCATCAATTCACCATAGAATCATAAAAGAGTACTCAGTTTCTATGCTCTCAAATTTCAAGGTGCTAACCATGGTGTTTCTACCTACAACATTGATCATGCATGAAGAGAACTGAGTTTAAAATTTACAACCAAATAAATTTGGTGCAAACCTGAATATTAATTGAAGGTGCCACTTGGTCTAACAGGTAAAGCTTCTAGGAAGTCACATGAGAGAATCGGGATTAAATGAATGATTGGAGGAGGGGGTTTGTGGATAACGGCTGGGTACTACACCCTCCCCCGTTGCATACCCTCATATATATGTATGTGTATATATATATATATATATATGTATATATACACACACACATATATATATATATGTATATATCTTAGTTCAGCTTGCAGTTTCATGCATGAAATTGTTTTTGGATGAAAAGAACTTCAGGGATTTGATTGGTAAAGTGGAAGTAACATGGGTATGCCCTATGGTGAATGTGCTATGCATCCAATGGGAGTGAAGATGCTACCAGCTCTGCTGACGATAGAAGTTGATGTTTGTGATGGTAACACATGTTAACAAAATGACCAACAGCTCAATGGCCTAGCGGCATTAGGCCCCTACTTCCCAAAGGAAGGTTAGGGGTTCAAGCCTCCGTGGAGGCATGTGTGTGTGAATACCAAGGAAAAAAAAAAAAACACATGTCAATAAAATTATTGAAAAGACATGCAAAATGAGGCAAACAAGGCAGGTATGTTCCAGCATAGTTCCTGGGAAGTGTAACCTTACAGTGACATCCTAGAATCAGAAAATGCATCAAATAATGCAGTTGACAATTCAAACTGTTCACCACCTTACCGTGACATCATAGAATCAGAAAATGCATCAAATAATGCAGTTAAAAATTCAAACTTACCTCAGCGTGAAGTTTCTCCATTGGCATCCATTCTCCTGGACCACAAAGATCAGAGAGCACAGTGGCCACAGATGATACTACATCTTTTTCTTCTAACTGCAGAAGTTGATGGTTGTCAGCATCCCTGTCAATCCTCGATCTTGCATCTGACTTCTTATCTGCAGGGACTATAGATTATACGATGTCAACGATAAAGTATATTATCAGACAGAAGTTATAATATGTATCCATTTTTTTATTTAAAGAACTTTCTGGCAAGGGAATGGAGAGCAATACTGAGATAAGGCGAACAGTAAAACGAAGTCAAACAGCGACAGTTTTTTACATTTTTTGTGCGCACATGAAAATTTTTATGTCATTTTCCAAAACAATCGCAAAAAAAACCACTGAATTCCTGAGCTTCAAAAGGCAATCACACAAATGATGGAAAGTCGTCAAAGCCCAGAAAACAATCAGATTTTCCCATATTGATCTATCCCCGGCATCATTGCCCTCCCAACAATTCTGACATCGTATATACTGAATAAATTACCTAAATCTATTTGGGGGAGGTCAGAGTATACAGATCACTTCTTCTTGTTTTGCAATTTAACAGGACAATAAAAATAAACACCAAATTAAAGACTGTCATTTGACTCTCATTCTATCCCTTATATCCAGATAAGCACTGTCTTTCCCTTGATGCATCTGCTTCACACAGACTTGGTATCTGAATTGGTATTTCAATTCAACCCGCAATCTATCCCTTATATCCAGATCAGCACTGTCTTTCCCTTGATGCCTCTGCTTTACACAGACTTGTACCTCAATTGGTATACTTAATTCAACCCAACAAACCATTTCCTAACTATTTGTGGTCAGCTTTTTACAGCAGAAAAAAAGAGCACACTATTTGTACTAGACTAAGAAAATTATATTTTGTCATCCCATCTGCTCTACCAAAGGCCATACCCTTAGTTAAAATGCATACTATCATATCCTTCCTAATTAACTCTGTTAGAACATTTATGTATATATATATATATATATATATATATATATATTTATGTTGGGTCATGTTGTAATTATGTATAGTTGGTAGGGCAAATATGTAATTAGCACATTCTTGTTCATATATAAGTTTTGGTTGTTCTAGGGTGTACAGATGATATATGAGATATACATTGTGCAGCCTCCATCTCTCTCTCTTCATCTTTCAGTCTTTACATGGTATCAGAGCTTCGATCTGAAGCTGTTCCGTCACAAGTTGTGTAGTCGGCGAAGGTGTGTGATAGCTTCAAGGGACTTTTGTTCTGTGTTGCTTGGTTGAAGAGGAGTTGGCTTAATCGCGATCTAGTTGTTTCACAGTCACGATCGGTGCCTGTAATAGTCGTAGTGGCCGAGAGATTTGGGGATCATCGTTCTTCCTGTGTGCAATCTTCAGTGACTTGTTTGTGTAACTGTTGTGGTTGCCGGTGTTTGCAGAGGTTTCCTTCACCGTTCTCTCATTGTTGTCTTCCCATCGGTGAGCCGCGAGTTCTGTCTAGAGTTGTGAGGAAGACAAAGAGTGTTTGGCTAGAGGAATTAGGTAGCCCAAACTTGGTTTACTGAAACCGGTTTTGCGGCGATCCGGTTCTGTAGACCCGTAGCATTGGGTCCGGCCAGTACATTGGACCCGACCCGTATCATTGGATCCGACCCATTTCGTTGAATCCGGCCTGAATCTTCTTGTGGATCCGGCAGAGCTAGTTCCAGGCAACATTTCTCTGCCTTCTCTTTTTGGACATGTGCAGTCTGTTTTTTACCTTCTCGGGACACTAAGTTTTTTTTGTTTTGGTTCATCATGTCCGACTCTTCAACCACTGCTGCCACTGAACTTGTGGGAATTAAACCTTCTATTGCACATGTTGATCATGTTGGACTGCAGATTACCACTATGAAATTAAGTAATTCTAATTACTTATTGTGGGCTCAAGCTATGAAAATCTCTTTAGGAGCCCGACGAAAATTAAATTTTGTTACACATGATCCTCAATCTAAAACATCAACAGGGTATGATGACTTGGAAACAAATAACTATATGGTTATGTCATGGTTGTGGAATAGTATGGGGCCTTCTTGCAACTAACTTTATGTTTTTGAACACTGCAAAGGAAATTTGGGATGCAGTTAAAGAAACTTACTCGATGGACACAAATGTTTCTCACATCTATTCCCTGTATGAAAAGATGTTTCATTCTCGTCAGTCCGATCAGGGCATAGGTGTGTATTACAGTGCTTTCAAAAGCCTATTGGATGAGTTGAATCAATACCACCCGTTGACCACTGATCTTGAAGTTATCAAACGACAACGTGAGGAATTTCATGTTTCTATTTTTCTTGCGGGACTCGACCCTAATCTTTAGAGTATTCGGGAACAAATACTTGCTACTGATGGAGGTCTTCCATCTTTGGGTAAAATTTATGCTCGATTACTTCGGGTTTTAGGACCATCACATGGAACGCCAATTGGGAAAGAAAATTCAGCAATGATGATTACTTCTATCACCCCACGGGTTTCCACAAGTCATGGTACTCCCAGTAGTAACCGAGGCAATTTGGGTGGTTCTCGTGGTAATGGTTATCGTGATGGAGGTCGCGGTCACCATGGTCGTGGACGTACTGCTACTCGTCACTGTGGCCACTGTGGGGGTACTAATCATTCTATTGAGTACTACTGGGATCTCCATGGAAAACCAGCATGGGCGAATCAAGTAGTCACTTCCTCTGACACTATTTGTTCTCATCCCTCTCTTGGCCACAACAATCCACTTCCTAAGGCTTCTGTATTGCCATCGAGTTCATCTACTAATGACATCGTCACACTATCTCGAGCCGAGTTCAGAGGTTTGGTCAACCAAGCACATCATAAGTGTGCTGATGTTGTTAAATGTTACCTTTGCCTAGTCAGGTAATATTACATGTTTTTAGGATGTACAGAGTTCATCCTCCCCTTGGGTTCTTGACTCTGGGGCCTCTAATCATCTAACGGGTAATGAATCTATATTTTCTAATTTTAGTAAAGTATAGTTCCACTTCTTTTGTTACTTTGGCAGATGGTAGAACTCATCCCATTATTGGTCAAGGCACAGTTAGACTTACTACTTCTATTTCATTATCTTCCGTTCAATTGGTTCCACAATTTCCTTTTAATTTATTATCTGTGAGTAAACTGACTCAAGCACACAATTGTTCTGTGACCTTTTATCCTTCCTTTTGTGTCTTTCAGGACCTCAAAACAAAGAAGACAATTGGTGGAAGCATTAAAAAGAATGGCCTCTTTTACTTGGATTGCTAGTCCTGTACTAGTGGGGTGGCTCTTCAATCGCAGGTTTCTGTACACCAGTGGCATTATCGGATAGGTCATCCCTCCTTGAAGTACTTGAAGTCTGCCTTGCCTTTTCTTGAGTCGGTGTCTACTTTAGACTATGAGTCATGTCAATTGGGAAAGCACCATAGAGTGTCTTTTCCTCCTTGAATTGATAATCATCAGTCTTCTTTATTTGAATTGGTACATGCCGACATTGGGGTCCTGCTCGTCATGTTAGTAATTCAGGGTTTTCAGATTTTGTTAACTTTGTTGATGACTATTCAAGGATGACTTGGATGTTTATAATGAAAGACCGATCTGAACTTTTTTCCATATTCCAATTATTTTTTAAAGAAATTGAGGTCCAGTTTGGCTGTGTCATAAAAACTTGGGAAAAGTGCAAAAAAACCCCTGAGCTATTGACAAATCTCAATTAACCCCCTGAACTATGAATTTGTTGCATTTTACCCCACCACGTTAGCTGCCCACGCCGGAAAAAAATTCTGACTAGTTTACCCTTTAGAAGACTACATCGTTTTAACTTGACCCTTACCAAACTTTCTTTTTTTAGGCGACCACTTGTGCACCCAAACGGGCTAACAGCAAGCTAGAGAGAGAGAGAGAGAGAGAGAGGGAGAAGAGATGGCGGTTTGCGGAAGAATTGTGGCGGGGAGCTCGCTGGCGTGACTGGCGCAGCAGTGGGCGACGCCGTGACTGGTGCAGTGAAGAGCTCGGCTCAGCGGCGGAGTAGCGGCAACGGCGAGCTTGGAGATGGAGAGCGAAGACGACTGTGAGAATGTTGATGGCGCCAACGAGACAGATCCAGGTCTTGGATTTATAGATTGAACCGGGTTGTGAACTCGAAAGTGAGCCGAGAAGCGATTGCCGAATGATTCATGATGTCATGGGTAGAGCAGCGGCAGATGAGATCGATGGAGCAGAGGGTAGAGCAGCGGCGGTGAACCTTGCCGCCATGAACTTCACGTCGATTTCTCCGTCCTTGCATCGACACCAATAATCAAACCCTCTGTCCGACGCTCTATCAACTAGGAGTGCACAAAGTTCCGGTTCTCACGGTTCCGATCGGAACCGGAACCGCTCATGACGGTTCCTTGAAAATGGAACCGGAACTAGAACCGTATAGTATGGAACCGAATCGTAGAACCGGTTCGGTTCCATGAGAACCGTTAACCACGAGTTGAGAGACAGTGGCTGAAGCCTGCAACTGAACTGGAACAGCAGCGATGGAAACTGACAGATATGGGTTTGATTTTTTGTACAATCTGAAATGATATGCCGATATGGGTTTTGAACTTTTGATTCTTGGATCTGAAATATATGGGTTTTGAACTTCTGATTCTTGTAGATTTTGGTGTCTGCAGTTGCAGAGAGAGAGAGAGAGAGAAAAGGAAGTTCAGATCTGAGAACGAAAATAGAGAGAGGTTCAACGCTCCGGTTCCGACGGTGACGAGACCCACTTCATGATTTCGACTAAGCCTCTGTCCAGTGAAGAGAGACGTCCAAGAGCCCAGCGAGAAGCTTTGCATCCAATTTCGACGGTTTGCTCCACCGATAACAGCGTGGTCAGACCAACTTCGACTGCTCGCTCCAAAATAATATTTATTAAAATAAATCAACAAGACATAGATGTGAGTGTATAACTAATCATCAAAATTGCAAGGCATGGATCGGCAACCAGTGGAACCGACGTCAATTCTTAAGCATACCTCATGAATTAAAAGGTATAGATAAACAAAAATAATTGTATAAAAGTAAGATTTTGAGTCTGTTCAGAGTTGAGAGAATAGAGATGGAGGCGATTGGTTTAGATGCTTAGAT